CACAGCCCCCAGCAACCCCCCACGCCCCGGAAAAACCCCCTGGAGCAGATCCCACACCCCAGCCAAGGACGGGCTGGGGGCTCTGCTCATCCCCAGGGTTCGGGAGGCTCCCATACCGCATGGACATCCAGCGTGTCCACGCTCAGGTCGTAGGCCGTGAGGTTCATCGTCTCAAACACCTCCTTGAGCGTCTGCTCCTTCCCCTTCTCCACGTGGACAATTTCATCCAGGTGCTTCTTCATTGCCCGCTTGATGAAGCGCAAGAGATGCTTCTGGTTCATGCAGGACGAGGCATGGATGTGGGTGTCCACCTGCACCAGTGAGGTGATGATGAGCCCTGAGACCCTCCAAGAGCTCCCCAGTCAAGCCAGGAACCCCCCAAGACCCGGGACTAGCTCAGGATCCGCAGGTACCTTGCGGATATTGTAGAAGTCGCGGTGGGGCACCTTCTTCTGGGCTGCCAACTCCTTCATCTCGTTCAGCAGCACGTGCATCTGGAACTTGTTGCTCAGGTACTGCAGCCGGCGGTAGCAGAAGGATTTGCTGACCAAAACAGGGAAGAGGGGCTCAGTTTGGGGGTGAGGAAGCAGAACATCCAGCCCCAAAAGGCTGGTGCCCCCACAGATATGGGAATGCGGACTCTTGGACACAGGTGAGGGTGGGCGTGGGAGCTGCACCAGCACCGTGTGCCAGAGTCACTGCCATGTCCTTGGGGCTGTCCCCGGGGTTCTGTCACACCCTCATCAAGGGATCCCCCCCAGGGTAAGACCCCCCCATGGGACCCTTCCCCTTACATGGGGCCATTGATGATCAAAGCCATGAGGAAATTCATGTCGGCGATGAACTCCTGCAGGTCGGGGTATGGCAGGTCCAGCTCCGTGCTCCTGGGGGTGGACACATGTGGAGGTCACACAGCCCCACCAAAAAACTCACCACCCCAATGAGTAGGACCCTCCCCCTCACAAAACTCACTTGTCAGTGATGTCCTGCTTGGTGTAGACATGCACAACACCATCCACCATCTTCAGCCCGAAGCCCAGGTCTGCTGGCATGTTCCGGGGGTCCCACGTCTCATAGGGGTGCTGCTCGGCAAACGGGGGGTGCACGGGGGCATCTGCAGCCAGGAGACACACAACATCACCCCAAAAGCTCCTCCAGCATCCCAGCCTAGCACCGAGACCCCTCCCACACCGTGCTCACCGGCAGCTACGGGGGTCTCGGGCACCTCCTCGTAGCCGCGGGTCTCCAGGGGCTTCTCGGAGAGCTCCTGCAGGTAGCGGGCCGTGGTCTTGCAGAAGCTCTGCAGTGACAGCCCCATGTACTTCTCCCGCACAAACAGCGCCTTCACCACGCTCTTGGCCGCATCCAGCAGGTCGGTGAAGGGCACCTGGAGAGGGGACACCAAAGGAAAAACCACCCCCCAAGCTGGGGTTGGCAGCCTGGGGACCTTTGCCTGGGTTCCAGGGGGGTCAGGGGGAGGCTCACCCCACATTTCTCCTCCCCAGAGATGGTCACCCGCTGGAATTCTCGCTCCAGCAGTGCCTCCCGCTCCTTGGGGACGTGGTCCACCAGGCTGTCATTCTGCTCCTTGAAGAGCCTGTGGGGACAGACGTGGCCAGTGGGACAATGACAGATCTGCCCCGTTCCCATGTACCCAACAGCAGCATGAGCCCCACCCCAGGGACTGTGTCCAGCCCTGGGATGGCAGGATGGTGATGTTGTCTCCGGGGACGCCACCATGAGGTTGTGGCAGCTGTGCCACCCGTGTCCTCTTTGGTGATGGCATTGTCCCCCTTCCCAAAAGACAACCCCCAGCCCTGATGAGCACAATGAAAAGTGAGGGGGAGGAGAGGGGCACAAAGAACAAAAAAAAACTCACGACAGAGACAACTCCCAAGCAGAGACAGGAGGGAGGGGGACACACAGCGTCAGACCCCCCATCCAGGGGAAGACAGGGCCAGGACAGGGGTCCTGTGCCAGCAGCAGAGCTGGGACCCCCAGCTCACCCCAACCCCCCTCCCCAGGCGCGTTGACTCCTTCAGTGTCAGCGAGAGTGGCTGGGAGGGACCTCTTGGCTCCATGCTTGGGTGTGCTGGGTCAGAGCGGGGCCAGGTGGGTCCCCGATCCCCCCCGTGGCCCCGGCCGGTGACACCGAGCCGGACACTCACTGTAAGTCCGCAGCACTGTCAATTTTCAGGAAGTCCTGTTTGGCTCTGAGCAAAATGTCGGGCTCAAGTCTGGGGACAAGGAGGCGGCGGTGGAGGGGGGGGACAGCCGGGGGGACGAGGG